CTTTTTGAAGTTTATTTTTAACTCCACTTAAAATAGATTTTATTTTCGATGTTTAGCACAAAATTTTCATTAATTACTTGTGATTCAAATTATTCCAGTTATCAATCAAATGAAATTTTACTTAAATTACAAAAATAAAAGTTATAATAATTACACTTAATATTTAGTACTAATTTAAATAACTTCTAAATGCAATGCAAAGCGTATTTATAATGAGAGACGAGAAAAATCAATTGTTATAAGAGATGACAATAGACTGAGAGTTATTTTTTGTCGTGTTTTTTGTGTGCATAACAGAGATAAGGAAAAATAGATAAATCGATAAATACATTAGGAATTGAGTTCACGTAATTCAGATAAAACTAATTTCTCCGACCAAACCATACCTTACAATACAATGCCTATCCATCCATAGGTATATTACTCCTCCGACTGCTATTGTAATTGTCATTTAAATTATTCATTTGATTGTTCATCAGATTTGTCAGTGATTTAAATGGAAACTATAAAACCGATGCAAATATCAATTCATACAGATTTTTTCGATACTGATTTAGCAGAGAATTTGGTTGTTTTCCAAACTAATCACAAAACAAATTACATTCAATAATCACTTATTTGTTGCGCTCCGAAGGATATCATCAGGAATTGAGAGCTCAGGAAAATAGTATGAATGATATGTATTGAGAGAAAGCAAAGTCAAAATGAGAGGCAGAGAGAGAGAGAGAGAGAGAGAGAGAGAGAGAGAGAGAGGATGGGAGAGACTATTTTGGTTTGGGCTCTCAATCGACTTAACGTCAATCAAAGAGTCCCTCTGGAGAACAATATGAACGCAAAATATCCAAAACCCAGTCCTAAGAGTCAGTAGTCATCACAATATTATTGCCATCATTCAAGAAGTGGGCACAACATCTCTCACACACTCTTTTGTCTATTATTTGACTGTAATTTTATAGCAAATAAAATATAATTTTTTCTTCTTTATCTTTGACTTCGGAATAAGAAATAAAAATTCAAACACTTATTGAAGAAAACAGCAAAAAGAGTAGTCGACGAGAAATGTCATTCAAAAAGAGACCAAAACTCTATACTAAAAGATCATTGAAAAGTCATTTTTCTTTCTCTCCTCCAATAATAATGCACTTTATATTGAATTCAATGCACAACTCGTTCAACATTTTTAGCGCAAAAAACATATATTCAATGATCACACAAATTGAGGACTCAAACAAAACTTTAACTGTTATGACAGACAAACATAACCAGAAAATACATTAGAGAGAGAGAGAGAGAGAGAGAGAGAGACTTGTTATTCCGGGAACAATATGTGGGTAATTTTGGCATCAAATATATCCAATAGTATAACTTTCAGTCGTCGTCTACCCCTTGAGGTTAACTTTTGAGACCAGAAAAAAAACATTATTTGCAGTGCTATTAATGACATTATATCGAAAGCGCATAAAAACAATAAAATCCCGAATACTTTTCAGCTATAATAAAAAACTTTCCGCAAAATAATAACTTTTATTTATTTTTCAAATGCTTTTATACTAAAATTTTGGGTCCAATTCATTCATTTTATTTTATATATTTCGCTTCTTTCTGCTGTCATATAATGTATTTTTTGATATGAATTATAACCAATTGATTCAACATTTCTTTATTCATTTAACGTATAGTTTTCTATTGAAATAATACAATAAAAATTTTGTTCGCATTTTTTATCTCCACTTTTTTCCTCCACTCGTCTTCTGTTTTCTTCTTATTTCTTATTATAAACTAAAGAATCAAAAGTTAAATAAAAAAGAAATATCTCTTTACTTCTTGGCTATCATTTATATAATCAAAGAATACGTTTCGTAAAAGTTTTTTTGTTATGTTATTTGAATGAGACATTTTTTCAACATCTCTTGAAATATTCATTACATTATATTTTGTTTTGTTGTTTGTATTTGTATTAAACAAACTATTATTAAATTATTATAATTATTCATAACTGATTGAATTGTATTAATATTCAACACATTTTGTTACATTACTCTGTATTTTGTTGTTATCACTACTAATTCAATGTCTATTACACTCTCTGTTGTGTTGTATTTATTGTTTTGTATGATTTTATTTGTAGTTATTTTTTTGTTTGGATAACATTTTTATTAGTAATGATGGGATTGAAATAAATTATGGTTTCAATCGCCGATCAAATGATCATAAGTTACGGTACAGTATATATAATCGTTATGTTATATATTTGTCAATAATATCACAGAAAAATAACAAATTAAATGTCAAATAAAAGACAGAATCAATTCAATATATGATACAATGATTTAAACATAATATCTCTTGTTTTCACTGTATTTATATATATTTGAAAGTAAATTAATTGTTATTTATTTTTACACAATTGTATCAAACATTCATTTGACATAATAATAGATTATACATAACGATAATAAAGTGCGGCAGATATTTGTAATCATTAGTACTGTATTATGTATTTCTCTTAATACTATCACTAATATAAACGCTATGAAGAAATGAGAGAAACGAACGACCATGTTGCTTCATATTTTACCCATTATGATCTCAACGTTAGTTACATAGTGTATAGATATTATGTAATTTGTTAGTGTATTTTATAAATATACAAATACTTTAGTGTATATTATGGTGTTTTGAGTGGTTTCTGACTATCTATGTGTCTGTCTGTATGTGTGTTATAAGCGATATATCTTTTTAGTAAAGAAATGTACAGAACATTAATCTCCGGCAACTTTTTTCTTGATCTTATTTCTCTTTCGATGAAAATATTGGAGTATTTGAGCCCCAAATTTACTGCCAATACTTTCCTTACATATACTGTTTATACGGTATATGTATTGCTTGAGAGAGAAAAGGATCAATAAATGAGCACTTTTTCAGTGTTAGAGAAAACATTGCAAATGAGTAGGAATTTAGCGTTGAAGTAGACGGGAGAGGGTTGGAGAGGGAGGATATGGATAGTAACCGTTCATTGATATTAACGCTAATATATGGTCAATATATGTGCGATGGATGTAATCAAATACTAGATAAGCAGTCAATGAATATTCTTCGCCAATGAAAAAATAAAAATAGCTATGAATTTGGTATAAAAACACAATTGTTATAAAAAATTATATTAACGTATGAAAAGAGAGGACAATAATAACATAATAAGTTATAACTTATAAGTTAGTACTATATTATAGTTTTGGTCAAAATATATCAAATCATATGGTCTTCAAAGTACTATATATTCTGTTTTCTCCAACAAAAATCTTATTTCTCTCATCTATTCATCTCTTTTATATATCAATACTATTTGTATTATACCTTTGGTTTATAAAAGCATTTTCTGGACACAATATAAAATGTCGCAAAAATGCAGTTTTTGAACAAATCAATAGAAATTTATTTATATTTGTTTTCTACTTGTATTATATAATATGTGTGTTTTGGCTAATAATTAATTCTATGATTTGTATGTTTTTTGGTCCTATAAAGCGCTGTAAAGTTAATTCACTCATAATTTAGTCTTATTATTATACATATAATGAGTGTCTATAAGTTATATCACTAATTATAACATAACAATCATTACATATACTGTATATTACATTAAAATATCTTACAATTAAAGCAACAATTTATTATTATATTATTTTTGATTGAAATGATCTAAACGTCTGATATTATTATTAATTGTGTGTTTCCAATGACCTCATCATTTGTGTCAAATATACACTTGTTTTCACATAAATAGATATATACACAAGAATTTCATTGGCTTTTTAAATGAAATCAATATTTGTATGTATTTTAGAAAAAAATGAAAGTTTTTACTTATTATCTCCAGAGGCTATTCCATTGAATTATCAAATATTTGGATATCTTATGAAAAATGCTTATTAAAAATTGAATTATTTCTTTCGCTTCTATAAAGTATACGAGAATCTAATTCTGAGATTTCAGAACATTTAAAATATAACTAATTTTTATATATACTATACGTATATATGAGTGAATGTATAAATGTGTGAGAGAATAGCCCTGGAAACAAATTAGCTAAACATAAAAATTATGCTCACAATCAGTGTATAAATAATTGAAAACCTTGTCTGTAATGTAAAAATGAATTAATGGGCACTTTTAGGCAATTCTCTTATATAATGAGCTATGAATTGATGATAAAAACTTAAAATAAAAATTCTGTCACAAAAAACACAAACGACGGGAATTTCAACGAAGAGATAATTGTTTATAAATTTGTGGCTAATATTTACAGATATTTATATATCGTTTGGAACTTATTTGCTCTGAAAGACCGCAACAACAAAAACAATTAAAACCCCTTTTAAATGTATTTTTACATTAATTTGTTAACACTATTTACAAATTATACAAATATGTACTAAACATTTGTTTTTTTTCTTTGTTAAAACAATTAATTTCATTATTAATAAATAGTTTTTGTTTGCTTTGTTAAACAATTGTCTGTTTTAAGCAGTTTTAAATTCAATTCACAATTATATTAAACGATAAAAATTAAAAATTATTTATATATATTTGTCGCTCAAATTGTCTGTATATCCGTCTTCTCATTTAAATTGTGGACATTTTTAATATTTAAATTAACGGCACATTGAATATACTGCGAACCAGTATATAATTGTAATTAATATATAAACTATATTATTATAGAGATAGAGAGTTAGAGTTAAGCTCGCAATTGGTTTCTATAATAATAACAGTGAAGATATTGGGCTTGACTTTAGACACACTTTTATTTGGCTCGTATTGAAAGAAACAAAACAATACTTTCATTCATTTCGCACAATGAATCTCGAGATAGAGTTATACAAAACCAAACCATCATATATTAAAACCACAACACAAACCGAAAACCAAACCGCATATTAAAATATATATTAAACTTAATAATAAAAACACATCTCAAATGTCTTCCGCACTCTTCAGTTAGTCAAATATTTTTATGTGGTTTTTGTTGTAATATTTTTGTTCACTAAATATGGATTGAATAATCAATTTTGTAGTTCATATGTGTGGCAAAGAAGTAGACGTCCGGATGTAGTGACGGCACAGAAACTATAGGGAGGCTAAGCTGTCTTCTTTGGCCTCCTCTTCGAGAACGGGTGGTTGGATGTGATGGTGTTGTTGGAGGAGATGCTGGTGTTGATGGACACCCACTTTGTCGCCCTTTTCCCGGTCCAGTCCCGCGACCGTCAGCTTTACGTGCTCTACAGATGTGCCACCTTTTCATTTATAACCGGATAATCAATTAAATAATTAGTTTATTATAAATTATTTTAAACAATAGATTTATAAAATGTGTAATAATTTTCTACTTTTATTTTTGGTATAATTTGAGTTAAACTAAATTTAATATAAGTTTAAATTATTACTTAATTTTCATTCTAAATAATTTATAAAACAATTAAAAATATTTGTATAGAAGAGGAAAAGAATAAATAAGAAGTATTTCAGTATAGAATAAATAAATAATTATTAAGAAAATAAATAATGAAACGATAGTAATATGCAGTGAAGAGAAACAAAATGAATAAAAGGGATGAAAAATGATTATAACAACGGATTAAATGATGAAATATAGATAGGAATAGAAAAAAGATAAATAAATACAAAAACCGTAACGAATGGAAAATATGAATCAAAAGAAGTAAACAATATATTGAAAAGTGTGGCAAAAATAAAAAATACAATAAATTGAAGACTTGATTCGTTTCAAGTGTTGCAACAAATGATAGACAGAGTGTTTGTGAAGTAATATAATTAATGATCTGCTATTTCTTACAATAAAATATTAGTTAAGTCTATATATTAGTATATTGTATAATATTATATTATGTTATGTCATATGTCTGGACGTGTATATACCGTGATTGGCAGAAGTGGTGGGACATGTGGTGCTAGTGGTGGGCGCCTTCTTATAAGTGGCCGAATTCATGGTCAGTTTCCTGACATTTTTGTCGGGATGAAAGATGATTATATAGATTTTGGGCGAAAACAGACAGAATAGGGCCACATATGCCGACAGAGATATTGACACCGATAGTGTCGTTATTTGTATCTAAAAAATGATTCACATATTAGACAACGAGATAAAGAATGGGACAAATATTGGGAAAAAGTGAAGTCAAATAAATGAGATGTTTGGTTACATTTGACAAAATGAAAGCTTTGTTTTACAGTTAGACTTAAAGTGTGAGAGTAATCGTTTTGTGTTGAAGAAGTAGACGTAAACCGATTGCTCTTATTATGAAAATTGAAGGCATTTTATAAATTGAAGTGAAATATCTATTTATTAGATAACAAATAAATCGTATTTGAAGTGGAAATTAAAAACAAGTTAAGCCATTGTGTTGTTTGCCATTCATTGCCATTAAAACACTGCAATCACTCCGTAAAGTGAGTCTTGGCTTTAAAAATCCATTTAATCTCGTAATTAGCTTTCAATCGCAATAAAATTGATGTCATTAGTCGTCCAGATTCTCTCTCTCTCTCTCTCTCTCTCTCTCTCTCTCTATCTCTCTCTC